GTTCCTATATATTGTGTTTCCCCACATCTTATCTGGGGCTCTCGTTTTCTAAGCACACCTTCCGCGCAGGATCTCCTCACCCCACTCCTTCTCACTCATCACATGCATCATCATAATTCATCATCGCATCTCCTCCTCACTCACACATGCACTCACATATCATCGCAAACATCATCATCATCATCATCACATATCCTCCTCACACACACGCACGCACACACACACACTCACTCAGTCACTCATTCGCACTCACTCTCCTCCTCACTCATCACACTCATCATCGTCATAATCCGCATCATCATCATCACTTCTTTTCTTCGCTCACACATTCACTCATCGATCATCATCACCACCCAGTCACTCATCACTTCGTACTTCGTCAACAATCACTGAGTCACTCATCACTCCGTCAACAATCACTCCCTAGCTTGAATATGGAGGAAGCATCAAGCACGAGCCTCGTCTGTGAATGAATTGTGAGGAAGTCTCAGGCGGGAGCCCCTCCCAATGGGGCCCGCACGCCCTCTTTCTAATCCGAAGCGGGTCATTCGAAACGTGTAACTGTCGTCATTTTTGGGCCCCTGTGGCGAGAATCTGGAGGTAGTATCAGGCGGGAGCCTCGTCTGTGAATGAATTGTGAGGAAGTGTCAGGCGGGAGCCCCTCCCTATGGGGCCCGCACCTCACGTTTCTAATCCGAGGCGGGTCATTCGAAACGTGTAACTGTCGTCACTTTTGAGCCCCTGTGGCGAGAATATGGAGGTAGTATCAGGCGGGAGCCTCGTCTGTGAATGACTTGTAAGGAAGTCTCAAGTGGGAGTTTCTCCCTATGGGGCCCGCACCTCATGTTTCTAATCCGAGGCGGGTTATTCGAAACGTGTAACTGTCGTCACTTTTGGGCCCCTGTGGCGAGAATCTGGAGGTAGTATCAGGCGGGAGCCTCGTTTGTGTTGAATTGCGAGGAAGTTTCAGGCGGGAACCCCTCCCTATGGGGCCCGCACCTCATGTTTCTAATCCGAAGCGGGTCATTCGAAACGTGCAAACGTCGTCACTTTTTGGCCCTTGTGGCGAGAATCTGGAGGTAGTATCAGGCGGGAACCTCGTCTGTGAGTGAATTGTGAGGAAGTCTCAGGCGGGAGCCCCTCCCTTTGGGGCCCGCACCTCACGTTTCTAATCCGAGGCGGGTCATTCGAAACGTGTAGCTGTCGTCATTTTTTTGGCCTCTGTGGCGGGAGTATGGAGGTAGTATCAGGCGGGAGCCTCGTCTGTGAGTGAACTGTGAGGAAGTCTCAGGCGGGAGCCCCTCCCTATGGGGCCCGCACTTCCTGTTTCTAATCCGAAGCTGGTCATTCGAAACGTGTAATTGTCGTCACTTTTTGGGCCCCTGTGGCGAGAATCTGGAGGAAGTATCAAGCGGGAGCCTCGTCTGTGAATGAATTGTGAGGAAGTGTCATGAGGGAAGTCTCATCCGAGGCGGGTCATTCGAAACGTGTAGCTGTCGTCACTTTTGGGCCCCTGTGGCGAGAATCTGGAGGTAGTATCAGGCGGGAGACTCGTCTGTGAGTGAATTGCGAGGAAGTCTCAGGCGGGAGCCCCTCCCTATGGGGCCCGCACCTCATGTTTCTAATCCGAGGCGGGTTATGCGAAACGTGTAACTGTCGTCACTTTTGGGCCTCTGTGGCGAGAATCTGGCGGAAGTATCAAGCGGGAGCCTCGCCTGTGAGTGAATTGCGACGAAGTCTCAGGCGGGAAGCCCCTCCCTATGGGGCCCGCACTTCACGCTTTTTAATCCGAGGCGGGTCATCCGGAAATGAAGAAGAAATTGGGGCTCGTGCAGGAGCAACGGGCCACCATCGTGTCCTTCGAGTTGCACGCAGACGACGAGCGGGACTACGAGGAGCGCGCGCCGGGCCAGCTCTTCCGCCCCCGCTACCTACCGCAGGGAATCTGACTGCAGGCGCACGGCTTCCAGGAGTCCCCGATCTACAAGGAGGTCGCCGAGGTGCTGCAGCAGGGCGCCGACGGCGCTGCCGACGACGCCGAGGCCGAAGCGCGGGCGAGGAGCTTGCTCATGTTCAGGCCCAGCGAGCAGGAGCTCACGTGGCAAAGCTCGGGGGCGCACACTGCGCCGCTCGGGGTTCACCCTGACGCATGCGTCCTACCTGACCTCCACGCTGTCGCAGGGCCAGACGCTGCGCAAGGGCGTCACCGTCGACTGCGCCAGGGATGAGGACGCTGGCCGCACGGGCATGTCGGACGAGATTTGGTGGCTGCACCTCTACGCCATGTTCTCCCGCGCCACGTGCATGCGGAACATGCTGATCCTGCGGCCGCCCGCGCGAGAGTTCCTGGAGCGCGGGCCGCCGGCGCCACTGCGGAAGGCGCTCCAGGAGTTCGACGAGAGAGCGGTGGGCTCCAGGGCTGAGGCGGAGCAGCTCGCGGCAGAGCTGGGCTTCGTGCTGCCGCCCGCCTGAGCGCCGCGGCGCGCGCCTGGAGGCCCGCGGGGCTGTCCCAGCGGCTGGCCCCCGCGCCCCTGCGGCCTGCGAGGTTGTCCCGGCGGCCTGGCCCGAAGGGTTGCCCCGACGGCTTCGCGATCTAGCCGTCGGCAAACGCGCGCGTGCTGGCCGACGCGGCGACGGCGCCGAGGAAAATCGAGTTGCTTGCCACGACCAGGGGGAACGGGAGGTGCACATGGAGAAGAGGCAGGAGGACGAGGAGGGAAGGGGCATGGGGGAGGGCGACGACGAGGAGAAAGTGGCGCGAGAGGAGGAGGAGGAGGAGGAGGAGGAGGAGAAGGAGGAAGAGAAGTAGAAGGAGGAAGAGAGGGCAGCGCAGAGGGCGAGAGGAGAGGATGTCCGCCAGGGGGAGGAGGAAAGGGCAAAGGGTAATCTAAACAGGTTTTCATGCGGGGTCCTACCGTCGGAGTAATTCCTGGGGCGCGAATCCTCTCCAGGAAGCCCGAGGAGGCTCCGCGATTTTCCTGCAGGCCCCGGGAGGCCACACGAGGCCCCAGGAGGCCTCAGGGGGCCACAGGAAACCCCAAGAAACCCCCAGGAGGCCCCGAAAGGCTCCAGGAGGCCCCAGGAACACCCAGGAGGTTTCAAAAGGCCCCAAAAGGCCACAGGCTCATGCAGAGAAACGCACTAATACTATTGAGGCGCATTCGCATTCCAACTCGTTCGCAGTTACAGCTACCCCCAGACAATCATCACTCAAACCCGTTTATATTCGAACATTATTTGCGCCTAGCCAGTTCCGGCGAGCAGGTCCATGTTGAGATATGCACAGATGGGAAGCCTCACGCAGTGATTGATTATTGTTCCGACCGCGCCAATTTCCTCATTCACATTTCCATCACTCCTCCTCGTTCTCATGTTATGGTATGGTATATAGCCAAGTAGCCATATAGCCCATATGGCGCCCAAGAGCCCACATAGCTCTATAGCCCTACAACCCTAAAGGGATTATGATTGGGGTTTTTCTCTGGTATCATGGATTCCTTTTGCAACGGCTTTCACTAGGATTCCTTTTGTAAGGGTTTTCAATCGGATTCCTTTGGTCACGGTTTTCAGCGGGATTCGATGTGTGCTCACACAACAGAGGTATACATGTTCATCTTATTCTCGTGAGTAAAAACCTTTTGTCGCGACGCCTGCCTAACAAGGCTTTTTGGGATCACGGAGGAAGTGGCCACCGTCGTGTGTATGTATATGTGTATATATATGTATATGTATGTATATACATATATGAGCCCTGTGCCCTCTTCCCCTCCCTCTGCCTCTCCCTCTCTCCGTCTCCCCCTTTTCATATACATGTCTCTCTCCTCGTCCTTCGTTATTTCCATTGTCTTATAGATTGGTGCGCGCACATATGTTTATTATGTATGTGTTTAACGTAAATGTACGGATGCATGCATATATGCATACGTGCGCGCATGCATGTATGTATGGACGTATGTGAGTGCGTGCGTGGGTGCGTTGGCGTGCCTGCTTCCTGGCGCTTATACATTTACCCGATGTACGATGTACGTGTGTAGGGAATTATACGTGCGCTGTTGAATGCGTGCGCGCGTGCGTCCGTGTGTACGTGTTGGTGTATGCGCATCTACGTATGTATTTAAAACTTTCATGTATAGTTTTGACACGTTTGTGATTCCATATTATTTTATCGTTCCTATGTTTCTTCATCATCCTCTAGGTTTCCTCCTCATCATCATATCCCGTCCTCCTCCTCCTCTTCCTCCTTTTCCTCCTCCCTATCCCGTTCGTTTTTTGTTTGCGTGTGTGTGTGTGTGTGCTTTGTGTGCTGTCCTTTCTCTATATCTCTTTCTTTCTCTCTCTCTCTCTATTTCTCTCTCTCTCTCTCTCCCTCTCTCTCTCTCTATTCTCTCTCTCTCTCTCCCCCTCTATATCGGTTTTTGTTTTGTCCGTTCTCTCTTTGTATATGTCTCCCGCATTCCTTCCTCGGGGGGGGTGCGGGTTTCCTTCTGCCTTGCCCCGCTCCGCCCCAGGCCTCCCGCCCCCCGCGTTTCCCGTCCGCGGGAAACGAGTGAGAAAAGGAGGAGGAGGATGAGGAGTAGGAGGAAGAGTTAGAGGAAAAGTTGGAGAAGGAGGAGGAGGAGAAGGAATGGGAGGGGGAGGAGGAGGAGGAGGAGGAGGAGGAGGAGGAGGAAGAGGAGGAGGAAGGAGGAGGAAGAGGAGGAGGAGAAAGAGTTAGAGGAGGAGTAAGAGTTGGAGGAGGAGGAGGAGGAAGAGGAAGAGTTGGAGGAGGAGGAGGAGGAGGAAGAGAGGGAAGGGAGGAGGAGGAAGAAGAGTTGGAGGAGGAGGAGGAGGAAGAAGAGGAGGTGGAGGCAGAGCTGGAGGTCGAGGAGGAGGAGGAAGAGGAGGAGGAGGAGGGGGACGACGACGACGACGAGAAGAGAGAGCAGGAGGGAGAGCAAGAGGGGAGACCGGAAACCCGCCACGGTCGCTCGACGGCCCGTCGCTGCCCAGCCGGCGCGCAGAACCTCGGGTCCGTGGACGACTTGCCGGACTCGGAGTGGCCTCCCGCGAGCTCTCCCCCAGCCGAGGAGGCTGCGGTCGGCCTGCGTCGGGCTGCGAGCGGCGGGCGATGGGAGGAGGGAGGGAGGGAGGGAGGGAGGAGGAGGCGGAGGAGGAGGAGGAGGAGGAGGAGGAGGAGGAGGAGGAGGAGGAGGAAGAGGAGGAGGAGGAGGAGGAGGAGGAGGAGGAGGATGAGGCGGAAGAGGAGCCGCAAACCGGCTTAGTCGGGACGCATTGGGGCTCCATGAGGACTTTCTGTAATCGTTTCGCTCACTCCGCTGGCCCGTATTTGTGCCATCGCTGGCGTTTGCGGGGCCTTTGGGGGGCCATCTGGGGGTCTCTTGGAGTCTTTTTGGGGGGCCTCTTGGGGGCTTCATGGGGCTTCCAGGGGGCCTCCTGGGCTCTCTTGGGGGCCTCGGCTTCCAGGGGGCCTCCTCGGGCGGAAGGCTCGAATCGGTGGTTCGCGTTCCCCCTCTTGGGCCCCTCGTGGGGCCGTCTCGGGGCCCTCTTGGGTGATCTTGGGCGCCGGCGCCGTTGGGGCCGTTTGGGGGCCGTCTTGGACCGTTTGGGGGCCCTCTTTGGGGCCTCGCGGGCCGTCTTGAGGCAGTCTTGGGGGCTTCTTGGGCCGTCTTGGAGCGTCGGAAGGCCCAAAAGGCGAGAAGGCTGGAAACCTCCAACAACCCTGGGAAGACATATGGCTTTCGTCTCTGGGGACCTCTTAGGAGGCCTCTTGGAGGCCTCTTGGGCCGTCTTGGGGCCATCTTGGGGCGTTTTGGGGCCATCTTGGGGCGACTTGGGGGCGCCTCTGGCGCCTCTTGGGTCCGGCTTGGAGCGTTCTTGGGCCAGTGTGGCCGCCTATTCCTCCTCCTCCTCCTCCTCCTCCTCCTCCTTCCCCTTCCTCCCTCCTCCTTCCCCCTCCTCCCTCCTCCTCCTCCTCCTCCTCCTCCTCCTCCTCCTCCTCCTCCTCCTCCTCCTCCTCCTCCTCCTCCCTCCTCCTCCATCTCCTCCTCCCCCTCTTGGGTCAGGAGGGGAAAAAAACACAGACACAATTAATCGTCGATCCCCCAGAAGATATGGGAAAATATGGGAAGTGGGGGGGAAGACGAAAACCCAGAAAATATGGGAGAATATGGGGAATCCTGTTATTTGTGTCTATTTGGTTGTGTGTCCCAGGGCCCCTTCATTGGGCTGTGTTGGGGCGGGCTTGGAGGCCTCTTGGGCCATCTTGGAGCGTCGGAAAGCCGAAGAGGCGAGAAGGCTGAAAACCTACAAAAACCTCCCGAACATCAATGATTTATATCTCGTGGGGACACATTGGGAGGCCTCGTGAAAGCTTGGGCCATCTCGGCGGCATCTTGGGCCGTCTTGAGGTAATCTTGGGCGGCTTGGGGCGAGTTTGGGGCGTGTCTGGCCTTTTTTGGGGCCGTCTTGGGGCGTTCTTGGGCCGTCTTGGGCGCTTGTTGAGCCATCTTGGTGCCCTCTTGGGCCGTCTTGGGGCCCTCTTGGAGCCCATCTTGGGGCCCATCTTGGGGGCGTGTTGGGCTGTTTGGGGACGATGTTGGAGGCCTCTGGGGCAGTTCTGAACGCTGTCAACCCCCAAACGTCGCACATGCGAAACATGTATTTCTTCCGAAGGGAATGTGACGATTTGTTGCTCGTTGGGGCCCTCTTGGAGAGCCTCTGGATGCTCTCTTGGTTTTTTGTGCGGCCTCTGGGGCCATCTGGAGACCATCTCGAGCGTCTTGGAACGATCTTTCGGCGACTCGGGGACTCTTGGGCCTTGTAGGGAGCGTCCTCGCGCCCTCTTGGCGGGGAGTCAGCCAGGCATCGCCCGGGCATCGCTGGGGAATCGCCTGGGCATCGGCCGGAGTACTTTTCGTCCAGGGGTCCCCAGGGGCCGCCAGATCTTAGCACGCCTGTGGCCCGTTGGGCCGGCGAATTTGAGTGGCCTGCCAGCCCATGGATACAACCCAGGCCCCCATCCCGATAGGGGCAGGAGGAGGAGGAGGAGGCGGAGGAGGAGGAGGAGGAGGACGACGACGACGACGAGGAGGGCCAGGGTAAACAGAAGGCGCATCATCGATGTTGCAATAAGCCCTCGAGTCATAGCGGGACATGTACATTGGAAGACAAACGTCTGAGAATCCTCAACCGTGCCAAACACCATCCCTGGGAGTTTAGCGTCGCGAGCCAGCGCGACTGCTGCGTTGTGACAGTCCTAATCCGTGCCAGAACACCGCTCCTGGGATTTCAACACAGTGAATTTCACATGACTGCTGCGTTCTGAAAAGCTCGCTAGGACACCATTCCTGGGACTTCGACCACGCGAGTCCTAGAAGCGACTGCAAACTTTCAGAACGAATGAACCGTGCGCTAAGGCGAGAGCCAACTTTCGGAAAAGAACCGCCCGTCATGTGTGAAACTGCTGTAAACGTGAAAGGCCAGCGTGCGCGGCGCTCGGCTCGCACTCCATCCGCGAAGCTGCTGCAAGTGTTCACCACCAGTGCGCGCGGCGCTCGGGCGAGACCACCATTTTGCAAAGAGCCCTCGCCCTCCGTCCGTGAGCCTGTTGCGCCTGTCAAGCTTCAGGAGCGGAAGCGGTGAGGAAGGCTCGGGCGAGACGCCCGGCCCGCCCTGCTGACACATCCGGGGGTGTGACAAGGGAGAGTTATTCACAAGAACGAGTGATGGAGGAACAGAACATGTTGCTAGAGACCGCTGCCGGCAACCCTCCCCGCGCCCCGCTCGAGAAGCTTCGACATGGGCGTCCGAGGCCCTTACATACTTGTCGCGGATCCCTGTGGTACGGGCCGACTGTACAGACAGGAAGGGGGGGAACTCGCAAACAGCGGGGAATGCGGGGCTCGCGAGCTAAAAATTTGGCTGCGGGCCCCGCTCCCTGCTTCCGACACGAGGGGGCAGACACTTCCGAATTCTCACGAGGGCGGTGTACAGTGGGGATCCATGCCAAGAAAACACCCTTTTCGCCTCCAGGGTGCCCTGGGTTTCTTGGGTTTCGATGGTTTTGCTGTGGGACGCGCGACGTGCCCACCAAAAATCAAAGGGCGTCCTTGGGTCTCAGGGGTGGGTTTCTTGTGAAGTGTTTCTTGTGGTCGAGCTCCTACTGTACAGGAAAGGCGGCCGTGCGCGATGCATTCGCATTTCTATGCCAAAAGCTTCGGAGGGCCTTCAGCAGTTTTGCCGCGCTCACCACAGCTCTCTGCACGACGGCCGCCCTCCTCTGGCCTCGAGACCTTGGCAGGCTTGGGAGCATTGGCCGTAGCGACCGAGAGAGAGGCGTGGCGGAGCAGATTCTACTCTGCCTCGCCGGACCCGCGCTTCTCGGTCAAGCCGTCGACCACAGTGTTGGCGCAGATGGCACCTGCTTGGGTAATTTTCCGAATCTGGCAAGCTTGGCTTCGTCCTCTGCCAAAGTTTGAGTGCACATGAACAAGCGAGAGAGGAGCAGACCTGGAATCAGCTGGAGCCTAAAACTCATACCACAGTTCGGCATCCTCCAGCTTCACACTGCGAGGGCCACCCCTCAAGTAAGCCCGAACTTGGGCCACCTGATCATGGTCAGCTCGGCATCACGACGGACAGCCTTAAGCACTTCGACAAGAGCAAGCAATTCAGCACGAGGGACCGTCTTCGTAGGGCTTGTCGACTAACCCCGTACACCCAGAGTCCCAACATAGCTGTGTGGCCGAAACCCGACGGACAAAACCCAAGGCGACTCCCCGAAGCATGGGCTGCTTGTGGTGACGGTGTGCACTTCGCTTAGACCGCTTTCAGTGCTGTCCACTTCGATCAGTCTGCTCAGACTTACTCAACTTCAGATTTCTTCTGCTCAAATTTACTCATATTCGTATTCGTTCTCAGTTTACCATACTGGCCATATTCTCGTATGCATTCATATTCGCTCAGGCCACTATCCACTCTGACCATATTCTCGCATTCATTCATATGCGTATTTATTCATATTCGCTCAGGCCTTTTACCTTTGAATCCTTCTGGCGCCGGTTCGGTTCACGAGGCTTTCAGTGCTCGCGACTCAGCGAGACTGCCCGTCTAGAGCCGCCGTGACGTTCAGAGTTGAGTCAGCGAGACCGCCGTCAGCGTCACGCGAGTCTCGCGTAATTTTCAGAGTTGTGTCAGTCTTCAGTGCTCGCGATGTCAACTAGAGAAGCGCCCTTCTAAGAGTTCAGGTGCGCTCAGCGCCTCGCGAAAATGAAGATCCAGTTGTAGTAGTAGCACGAGTAGTACTAGTAGTACTAGTAGTCCTAGTAGTGGTAGTGGTAGTGGTAGTGGTAATGGTAGTGGTAGTAGTAGTAGTCGTAGAAGTAGTAATAGAAGTAGCAGAAGTACTGGGAGTGGTAGTTGTGGTAGGAGTAGTAGTAGCTAGTAGTAGTAGTAGTAGTAGTAGTAGTAGTAGTAGTAGTAGTAGTAGTAGTAGTAGTAGTAGTAGTAGTAGTAGTCGTAGTAGTAGTAGTAGTAGTAGTAATAATAGTAGTAGTATCGTAGTAGTAGTAGTCGTAGTAGTATTAGTAGTAGTAGTAGTAGTAGTAGTAGTAGTAGCAGTAGTAGTAGTCAGTAGTAGTAGTAGTAGTAGTAGTAGCAGTAGTAGTAGAAGCAACAGGAGTAGTAGTAGTAGTAGTAGTAGTAGTCGTTGTCGTCGTCGTCGTCGTCGTCGTCGTCGTCGTAGTCAGGAGTAGTAGTTAGTAGTAGTAGTAGTAGAAGGTAGTAGTAGTAGTATAGTAGTATAGTAGTAGTAGTAGTAGTAGTAGTAGTAGTCGTAGTCGTTGTCGTCGTAGTCGTAGTAGTCGTAGTCGTAGTAGTAGTAGTAGTAGTGGTAGGTAGTAGTAGTAGTAGTAGTAGTAGTAGTGGTGGTGGTGGTGGTGGTGGTGGTGGTAGTAGTAGTAGTAGTAGTAGTAGTAGTAGTAGTAGTGGTAGTGGTAGTGGTAGTGGTAGTAGTAGTTCAAGCAGAGCGTGGCTTTGCAATGCCTAGCAAGGCCTAGCAGACTCAGACTGCTCAGACTCACTCACACTCAGAATCCGTGCGTGCCCGCTCCTCGGGCTCTCTCGTATTTCTGGGTCCGCGGGTGCTAAGATAACGCGCGGGCGCGGGGCGGGGGACACCCTGGGGCGGGCCCCCTCCTTGGAAGACCGACGAAGATTATTTTTGTAAGGAGGATGTAAAAGGAATCGCATGGGAAGAGGAGGAGGGGGAGGGGGAGGAGGAGGAGGAAGAGGAGGAGGAGGAGGAGGAGGAGGAAGAAGAGGAGGGGGAGGAGGAGCTAGGAAACAATATAAAAAATACTGGAAAAGCAGAGTTGTGCCTGAGTTGTGGGTCAGGGACTTGAGAAGTGCCTGGGTTGTGTGTCAGACATTGGAACAGTGCTTGGGTTGTGGGTCAGAGACTGGAGCAGTGCTTGGGTTGTGACTGATTCCTTCTGCTCAGACTCACTCACAGCCAGACTCAGTGTGCTCAGACTCACTCACATTCAAAATTCGTGATCCTTCTTGGCATTGTGCTACTATTCATTAGTATGAGCATTATAATTATGATCGCTCTTGCTTGGTTTATCATTCGTATTGTGATACTCGTGCTCAGACTCAGGTCTGAGCAGGGCTTAGCAAGGCTTAGCAGGGCTTAGCAAGGTTAAACCTCGGACCGCGCTCCGGCCCACGCGTAGCAGGGCTTGGGAGGGCTCAGCAGGGCTTAGCAGGGCCTCGCAGAGCTTAGCAGGGCCTAGCAAGGCCAAGCAGGGCTGAGCAGGGCTTGAGAGGGCTTTGAGGCTTAGCAGGGCTATGCAAGCGTTAACAAGGCTTCGCAGGACCTAGCAGGGCTTAGCAGGGCTTAACAGGGCTTAGCCTCGGACCTCGCTTGGACCAGGGCTTAGCAAGGCTTCGCAGGGCTTAGCCGGACTTCGCAGGGCTTTGCCTCGGACCAAGCTCGGACCACGCCTAGCAGGCCATAGCAGGGCGTAGCAGCGCTGAGCAGTGCTGAGCAGGGCCTGCCTAGCAGGGCTGAACTAGCAGGGCTTAGCAGGGCCCTGTACAGGGCGTAGCAGGGCTTAGCAGGGCTTGGCAGGGCCTCGCAAGGCCCATCGGCCCGCAGGGCTTAGCAGGGCTTAGCAGGACCTACCAGGCATGGAGGTCCACAGAGATCTGGGCTAGATCCTTGACATTCGTTGCGACACCCTCTCTTGGCCTCATTGGGGCGGCCACCGATGGATTTTGTTTTCTGTTTGCGGCGGGTGCTAAGGCCTGGAATATTGAAAAACCGGGTGCTAAGAATAACCTAGGGGGGGGGGGGGGGTTTAATAACTGGACAGGGTTAGAAATGAGGATGGGATGGTCACTTGTAGAGCAAAGAGAGCTGTTGGATGGAGAGCGACAGTATGGAAATATCGGAGAGATCAAGGCCTCCAAAGTGTTCCTTGCGACCACTAAGAAACACGTCAGTCGGCTCCAGGATTCTGTATCGAACTGTGTGCTCGTCGTTCCCTGGAGCGTTGTTCGAGGCTGCTGAAACTAGTGTCTGGACCCCTTCTTGTCCCTCAGGGTCCTGCGCTTGCTGGGGGTCTTCATTGCTTTGAAAAGCAGAGGATCTAGGAACAACATCGGATCCTCCTCCTCATCCTGCTCCTTCTCCCACCCGCCTCTTCCTCGCCCCCTTCCATCCCCTCTCTCCCCCTCCCCCTCGACCTCCACTTCCAGCTTCTCTCTGTACGCCCCATTTCCCCACCGGCGCCGCCACGGCCACTTCTTTTTGCACTTCAACCCTTGCCTCCGATTCCGACTTTCACCACCCGCCAAACCACCCCAACCCAACCCGAAGGCCTCAATTTTCCATACATTTCCAGTGGGGGGGTGGTCGGGGAACATTCTGAAAAAAACACATGGAGCCCATACCCCCCCCCAGCCCGAAATTCGGGTCTTTAGGTTGGGTTGGGGTTTGGGGTTAGTCAGACGTCGCCCAACCCCCTCGATGCTGCCGTCCTCCCGCAAAGTATATGCCCCTCTTGGGCACGGCTCGCCCAGGCGTCGGAGAAGCCGGCGCGGCCCGAGAAGCGAGCCACGGAGCAGATCGTGGAGGACCTGTTGGAGGACCCGTATCTTTCGTGGTGTGCGTATTTCATTCAAGGGCGTGAAAAACGCCCCTTCTCTGTTTCACGAGGCGCTGTGCGTTGAACCTCCTGTGGGCTGACAGGGTAAAACCTGCGTATCGCGTGTGCCTTCGCGGCGTCCTGGCGGCTCTCTGGCCTGTAGGAGCTCCCAGGAGGTTTACTGACCACGCACTTGTAACCCAGGGTAGGGGCGTTTTGTCATTCCTCAATTCATGGCACATCAGTCTGACCCCAGTTGTCTTCGCCTTGGGGTGCCGCACCTACTCGGAGTCCACATCTGTGGCCCTTTAGTTCAAGCGCATATCAGCTGTAGTGATGCTGAAGCAATACAGTCAACCCGCATAGTAAGGATGGGCAACCTTCCCAAGGGTACCCTTGCATCCTTGCCTCCTCGGTCCATCCTTCGCCGCTTTCGTCGGCCGCGCCCCGCTCGAAAAGCTTCGAGATGGGCGTCCAAGGCCCTTGCATCCTTATCGCGCATCCTTATTGCACGGGCTGTCTGTAGCTAGAAGGTATGCATATGCCCGCAGCTATATTGATTTTGGTTCGAAGTGATGTCTAGCTGCCTGCGGCAAATCCCGCCACTGTGCCAGCGCGGCAGCGCAGTAGGAAGGAGGTTGAGCTTAAGACCCAAGCCCGTTCAGTGGGCGTTCTGAACTGGCGTGGGGCTTCAAGTCGACCTCGTTCCCATCTTGCCACGATGAGGAGGACGAGGAGCGATGGATGGATGAGCGTAGGAGCAGCCGAGACTTGAGGTGAGGTGGAGCCGAAGACCCAAGCAAGCTCAGGCTGGGCACTGAATTTGCGTGGATCTTGAACAGGACCTCCTCCAGCGCAGTGCTCCGTTTGAACTAGCCCGGGTCTTTCCCACCTTTTCTTTGTCCTTAGCCTGTTCTTCTCTTCTTTCATCCCTCCTCCTTGTCCTTGTTTTCCTCATTTTACTCTTCTCCCTCCTTCCATCCTGAAGGCATCTAGGAGGTATCTTGGAGGTCTATCTAGCTGCCTGCGGCAAGTCCTGCCACCGTGCCTGGGCTGTGGGTTATAAGCGTAGTGGATGTTCGTTGGAATCTCGTGGGAGGCCTCTCGGGGGCGTCTTGGAGGCAGTTTTGAGGCCTCTTGGATGCCATTTGGGGGCTTCTTGGGGGCCTCTTGGGGGCCTTTTGGGACCTCTTGGGTGCCTCTTGGGGGCATCTTGGGGCCTCTTGGGGCCTCCTGGGGGCTCTTGGGGCGGAAGGCTCGGATTTTCGATTCGTGTTCCCTCCCTCTCTGGGCCCCTTTGGGGGCCGTCTTGGGGCCCTCTTGGGCCGTCTTGGGCGCCTCTTGGGCCGTCTTGGGTCGCTCTTAGGCCGTCTTGGGGCTCATTGGAGGCCTCTTGGGCCGTTTTGGAGTGGTCTTCGGAGCTAGGAGCGCCGGAGAGCCGAAAAGGCGAGGACGCCAACATCATCGAGAAGCCGAATGAAAATCAATGATTTTTGCCTTTGGGGGCCCTCTTGGGAGGCCTCTTGGAGACCTCTTGGGGCGCCTTGCAAACTTCTTGCGCCATCTTGAGGCCATCACGGGCGTCTTCGAGCGATCGTTGGGCGACTCGGAGCCCTCTTGGACCGTCTTGGAGGCCTCCTGGGCCGCCATGGAAGCCCTGGAGAGCCTCAGGGAGGCGCCATGGCCGTCCAGTGACCCCCTGGGAGTATGGCCAGTGCGCGCGGCGAGGCGCTTCCCGATGAGGCGTGGGGGCCCCTTAGAAGATGACAGAAACTCTGCCAGACAGCACTTGGCAGTCCACCACGCCTCAACGTGCCAGGGGGCATGGTGGCAGATTGGGGCCTCTTGGGCCCTCTTGGAGGTCTGTTGGAGGGCCATTGGAGGGCCTGCCAACGCAGCGGCGCTGTAAGAATGAGGCTGAATTCAAAATCGTGCCAGTTCAGCGCACGGTCTGAACTGGCACGGGCCTCGCATTCTTCGGGTGCCTTTTGGAGGCTTCTTGAGGCCTCTGGAGCATTTTGGGGAAATCGCGGAGCCCTCGCCCGCTCGATTGGCCCTCTTTAGGCTGGGTTGGAGCGTCTTGCCGCTGTTTGGGGCGGTCTTTCATTCTCTTGGAGCCGCCCGGAGACCGAAAAGGACGCCGGAGAGCAAGACCATGGGGGACGATTCTCGAGGACGCGCTGGCCAGGGTGTAGCCCTGAATTTTTGGGAGGTGGTCAGCAAGGGCTCCCACGAGGGCGCGAAGTTATTCGCGCTTCGCGGTTCTCGTTCCTCCTCCCCCCCCCTCCTCGTCCTCCTTTTCTCCCTTTGGGGGGGCGGCGCGAGAGCGCGAAGTCATTCGCGCTTCGCGCTCCGCAGAGCGCGAGAGCGCGAAGTAGGGAGCCCTAGGTTGGGAAGTCCTGCGGGTCTCCCGCTGCCTGTGGGCCACCGTGTGTCTGTGCGAGGGTGTTCTGCTGTCAGAGGGCGCGAGAGGCCTGTGCGCTCGCCCCTTCGTTTTGGGCTTGAAGGTTGGGGCAGTGGTCAGAGGAGGAGGAGGAGGAGGAGGAGGCGGAGGAGGAGGAGGAGGAGGAGGAGGAGCAGGAGGGGGGGGGGGAGGGAGGGAGGGAGGGAGGGAGGGAGGGAGGGAGGGAGGGGGGAGGGAGGGAGGGAGGGAGGGAGGGAGGGAGGAGGTGGAGGAGGAGGAGGAGGAGGAGGAGGGAGGAGGAGGAGGAAAAGGAGGAGGACGAGGAGGAGGAGATGAGAGGTGGAGGAGGAGGAGGAGGAGGAAGAAGAGGGGAGGAAGGAGGAGGAGGAGGGAGGAGGAGGAGGAGGAGATGAGAGGAGGAGATGAGAGGAGGAGGAGAAGGAGGAGGAGGAGGAGGAGGAGGAGAGAGGAGGAGGAGGAGGAGGAGGAGGAGGAGGAGGAGGAGGAGGAGGAGGAGGAGAGGAGGGGAGGAGGAGGAGGAGGAGGAGGAGGAGGAGGAGGAGGAGGAGGAGGAGGAGGGGGGGGAGGCAGGGAGGGAGGGGAGGGAGGGAGGCAGGGAGGGAAGGGAGGGAAGGAGGGCGGAGGGCGGGACGGGCGGGCGGGCGGGGCGGCGGGCGGGCGGGCGGGCGGGCGGGCGGGCGGGCGGGCGGGAGGGAGGGAGGGAGGGAGGGAGGAGGAGGAGGAGGAGGAGGAGGAGGAGGAGGAGGAGGAGGAGGAGGTGGAGGTGGAGGAGCGGTTTTGTCGCTGGACGTGGCAAACGCCTTCAACGAGGTGGACCAGGACGTCGTCATCCGCGAGGTCACGAGCAGGCTCCCGCCCCTCGCGCGCCTCGCAGCCGCGTGGTACGGAAGGAACACCACGCACGGCGCGCACCTCTCTGGCGCTGTCACCGTGGTGACAGCAGAGCGGGGGCTCGGCCAGGGTTGCCCCCTCTCGCCGGTCTTTTTCGCCACGGCCACGGCGACCCTTCACGAGGACTTGGCGCACGCGCTGCGGCGGGACACGGGCGCCGTCGTGGTGGCGTACCTGGACGACGTCTACTTCGTGGGCACGCTGGAGGAACTCGCTGCGGCCGCAGCAGCCGCGCTGGGACTCTACGCGGCGCGCGGACTCCGCCTGAACGGGGACAAAACCAAGGTGTGGAACCCGCACAACCTGCAGCTGCCTGCCTTGCCGCAGCGGAGACACCCGAGCTCACGTGCGTGGGCAGCCGCCTGCCCTTCCTCGGCGGGGCCGCAGCCGAGGGCCTCGGCGACGACCACGACGCGGCGGCGACCAGCTTCGGCGCGGCGGCCGCGCCGGAGATGGCGACCCGGCACTTGGCGGCCTACTTGACGGCCCTCGAGACCTTGCGCAAGCACGGCTTGAGGGCGCAGGACGAGCTGACGCTCCTTCGCACCTTTGCGAACGGTACTGCCTTGCACCACGCTCGCGCGCACTTACTCAGCGAGGCCTGGTGCGCCGACTACGACGCTCGGGTCCTGGGGCACCTGGAAAGCGTGACTGGGCAGACCCTGACCGCGGCGGCGCGCGAGCAGGCCTGCCTCCCCCTGGCAGACGGGGGGTTCGGCTTGCACAGCCTCGGGGAGCGCCGCCTGCCCGCCTTCGTGGGTTCCTGGCTGGCGTGTCTGGCCGAGGTGCGCCGCGAGCTCGGCCTACCGAGCCTCGAGGCCTTCGCCGCGGCCTGCCCCCGGACCTGGGCGACGGCGAGAGAGGCGGGGCGCCTGGCTGGCGCGAGGGCCGCGGACTGGCTCCGCGCGGCAACGGAGCGCGAGGCGAAAGCGCAGCGGCGCCTCACGAGGCCGGCACATGAGCGGCGCCGCGCTCTCCTGCTCGCCTCCCTGCCGCCGCCAGAGCAGGCGAGCCTTCGCTCGGCCAGCGGGAAAGGCGCCGGGAGCTGGCTCCTCCCGCCCACAGAGCCGGACCACGTCATGGCGGACGAGCACTTCCGCACGGCGCTGGCCTTGCGGCTCCGCCTACCGCTGCCGCCGGGGGCCAGCGCAACTTGCCTCCGGCGCAGCCCCGACGGCTCCTGCTGCGGGGCTGACCTGCGCGCAGACCCCGGGCATCCCCTGGGTTGCCCAATCGGGGGCGGCACTGTGCTGAAGCGCGACGGCGTCCGGGACTGGCTCGCGCGCTGGCTAGCGGAGCGGAGCGCCACAGGCGTGAGGACGGAGCAATTCGCCCCCGCCTGGGACAGGCCGCGCCCGGACAGCACCCTCGAGGCCGCGCGGCTGGACGTGGCCTTCACCGACCCGGTCGCCGGGGTCACCTACGCCGACGTGGCGATCACCGACGCGGCCTTGGGCGCGGGCGCAGCCGCCGGGCGAAGCCGCGCCGCGCGCGACGGGAGTATCCTTGATTATTTTGCGAAAAACCACGCACGAAACCGAAAAAGGCACGGGGAATGGACGTCCGAGCGCTGGCCAGTCCACGAGGCAACTGCCGGCGTCCACCAGGCAAAACCCAATAACCAGCAGCCACGCACTGGGTTCCCACGAGGCGCCCACCAGACGACCCCCCCCGCAAGCAGGTCC